ACCAACCAGCCGCAAACTACCTCGAATTGATTTTTTCCTTATAAATATGTAACCTTCGCTACGAATGATTATGAAACCGCTATAAAGCTGCAGCATGGTAAGTACAAAAAAAAAAAATAAATAAATAAAAAATAAAAAAAAAAAAGACAGTGAAAAAGTAATTTGCAAAATACAAGGTTTCTTAATTCCTTCCCTAAAAATGCGTATGAAAAGGGAACGCGTTGAAAGGTTAAAGACCCCTAAACTTTAATATTTTTTGTCGTAATTATTTTCGTTAGTTGAAACAATTTTTCATTTGATCGTTTTTACAAGATGCTTACGCTCCTTTAAAATTGATGGATAATGTTGTAAAACATTTATTTTGTGTACTTAGATATCTGAAAAAAAAAAAAAAACATCAACCAGCAGTTGTTTGTTTCTTATTTTTATAAATCGTTTCTTGCTTCGCCTTCAACTTATTTATGTGACATTTTTCTTAGCAATCCATCAATCTGTCGGAAGACTTAAAAAAAAAAAATAAAGAGTATCAAATAAAAAATTGTAAAAAAATAGAAATGGAAGAAATTTTTAAAAAGCCATAACATAACAGTCAAGGTGAATAACATGTTGCTGTCAGTTACAAAAAAGCCAGGTTCAACAGAGCTTTACTATCGTCAGAACTAAATAGACCAGAAATTGATAACAGTCTTGAAGGGGCAGCACAGATCGTTTTTCAAATATCAAAGTAAAAGAGAATCATTTATTTTATTTATAGTAATTATAGCAACTTAAGCGATTAGAAGCAGAAAATGTGAACTATGTCGAATGCAAGTTTTCGTTGCCAACGACACGCGTCTAAAGCTTTAAAAAAGCAAAAGATTGCATGAGCATGTGGAGAGGCAAAGCCACAAGCTCGTTTTGATCTAATGCTTAGTCGTAACTGTATCAGACGCTTTTAGCGTAGTTTAGGTGGTTTGTATGTATTGTTAACTTTTCTTGTCTATGTTCGAACATAGATCGAACATAGGTTTTCTTTTTGAATTTAAGCGTTATCATTGCATTGCTGATTGCGCAGAAATAATTTCGTAAGCATTCGCGTTGAATAAATCAGGAGCAGGAGCAAGTAAGAAGTAATCCTTATGGTCTAACAAACTCAGATGAGAGACGCAGAGTCTATACAAATAACGTTCATATAATAATCTTGTTAATGAATCGATAAGTTAGAGGTGTGAACAGAGGTCATTGGACATTAGAGTAATTGAGCTATGACAATGAATGATACCGCGGCAAGGCTGCTAGCATCATATTTGATGAATACACTTATGCTATTATTTTCTTAATTGGCTTTTGCAAAGTTATTTAACTTATTTTTATAGATTATGAGGGGTGATGAAAAGAACGTGTTCGTTCGTTTATTGTCGCAACGGAAGAGTGAAAAATCATTTGTCGGTTTGTATAGGTGCTAGTAACGTTATCACAATACTTAAGTACTTTAGTGGTAAGATTTGTATTTTCATAGCGAAAAGAACAAAAATATAAAAATGAGTTGAATACTGAAGGTAAGTTTAAAGCGGCTGACGTGAAAGCGTGGAAATTCCGCTGAGATATATGCGGGAAAAATTTGAACACTCGCGAGTAGCAAATTTGTTCACTTCAGACGGAAATTTTCAAATTCGAAGGTTTCTTAACAGAACCTGCGCACCTGGCGATCACGGTGATACCCAGCACTGTTTACCACGAAAAATGACAAAAGAAGTAAAAGGACAAAATTCTAATGCTCTACAATATGGAGTGGGCGTAGTTTGTTCGATTTCTTCTATTTTTAAAACTAAAGTTTCTTTCTTAGCGGCATGTGGGCGTTGTAGGCGCGTCCTTTGAAAAGTTTAGATCAATACCAAATTCTTTTTCAAATTTCATTCCCACTAGCGGAATAATGCTTACCGCAAATACTAGAAAGTTGCGCAAACAGGCAGATGGACAGATGAACAGGCCAATATGTTTAGGTGCATTCAAGGGTTGTAACTGGCCAAGAATTTGTGTTTTGAAGCTTGTTTTTGCGAATTATATAGATATTGAAAAACAAATAATACTTTGATGCACTACAATATGGGGTAGGCGTGGTCACTATTTTTCATTTTTGTGCACAAACACTACAGCATCGCCCATAAAAAATGCTTTCAAATTTTTGTGCACTTATTTGTATAGCTTGTGAGTAATGAGCAAAAAACCTATTTGGCATTCCCTTTGAAAAGCAGAGGTGTTCTCAGTTCACGTTGTGATGTGGATGTGTCCCACCACCGCAATGAACCTGTGAGCAGGAACTTTCAATGTTTCTGCCAAATTTAAAGTCAAGAGGTTTATTTTTGCGCCCAGACATTACACAGACTGGTAGACGGAGACGCGGAGAGACGCACATTCTTAAATCGATTTCGAATTTGATGCTGATCAAGAATTTACATACTTTGTGGCGTCTCTGATGGTTACTTCTGCGCGTTGCAAACCTTTTGACTTCTCATCCCTCGTTGATGGGTTTTAAAAACAGTTGCTAGAAGTAGCCGCGCATATGGTGAAAAATGCTGTCAAATGCTTGTAATGTTTTTTTACTTATTCCAATCGCGTCAGTATTTTTGATTGTTTTTCATTCATTTTATAGTAATAATAATCTTCTTGGTGTTGTTTTAAATTGAAAATTATTAGCGGGAAAATAGAATTAATTTTGAATCCATTTTTGAAAATTTCTAAAAGTAATTATGAACTAATTTACTGTCGCACTGTCATACTGCTGTATGTATTTACTAAATATCAGCATATGCATGGATGGATACATATATGTGGCTGTATGCACGCGCTCGTGTGAAAGTGAATGTAATCTGCACAAAATGATGCTATTTATAAAATTTCAATGTATCTGAAACGTTTTACGTGTCATTATGGAAACCTCAGGTGGGGCAACTTATACGCATTCAAACAACTGTTTGAATAAATGCTGGGTGAACACGTTTCAAAATGAAATTGCGTGCTTTGAAAGGCAACAGAACAACGAAGACACAAACACGTGAATGAATGCAATTATGGTGTAAAGAGGAAAAACAAAAGAAGAACAAGAAGAAAATTGAAGAACGAAGAGAGAAGAGGCTTCTATTTGTATGCATAAAACTTTGTGAGCTTCATATGTACGCATATATCGCAATTGAATATGTTAAAGAAGACCCAGAAAACTGGAGTGCTATCCATATGAAGAAAGCTTCAGATGTGATATTTAAAGTGTAGAAATGAAAAGGAATTCGTGTTTATTAATGAAACTTAATATTAATATTTCATGTCAATAATTTTGAAATCTTTTGCTGAAAGTCTTTTAAACGATTTATTCCGCCTTCACTTGATGTTTCCACTTGCTGTCTTTACTACACAGCTCCACCAATTTGAATTAATGTCAATGGATTGCATTTTTTTCTTTTGCGTCTCATTAGGTTTTAAGGTGTTTTTAAATGGCCGTGCAGATCACCGGATAATATTGTACCGACACCACTACATCTACTATCTCTATCTATTACGTCAATGCGAATCTCATACTTTGTTTCCCGCCTGTAATACAAAATGGCTAAGCCTTTATAGTCCAAATTGCAAAAAAAAAACATGCGATTAAAGAAACCGTGGGTGACGCTCAAGTGAAACTAATCCTCAATATCACTGCGATAATCGAGCTGGACTTTATTCGTCTTAGCCTTATGTTTAACGCCATCGGAAGACAGCAGTATTTTCAAGTGCAGCAAATTCTTAGTTAAGGAACTTTGCCGATCACATCTTATGCACTTAAGCCGAGAGTTAAAGGGGATTTTTTCTACACATAACAACACTCATTTATCCTCAAGAAAACATTGGAAACGTTAAACTGAATTGCGCTCCCATATCGCCTGTCTCTTCCAGTCATTGCTAATATTAGTTTTGTGATGGCCTGCGTCAGCAACGCATGTTATGCCAGAAGGAGTTCTTTGCGTTTAGCTTGAAAATTGAGACGAGAGCCCTCGAACACTGTGCTAAATAGATCGAAAGATGTGGAAACTATCCCAGAATCTCCTACGAGCACTAAATTAGGTCGGCATTACTCGCTAAACTGGCACCTGCAACTTATATGAAACCGTTAAAAAAAGCATCTCTTAACGAACTGAAAATAAACCTACACACAGCTCCTTCAATTGCATGTCATCGTAGCAAAAAACTGTGTTAGATTCTGTGATCATGTTTCGTTGGGACAGAAAAGGCATAGAAGAAATGGTTGGGTATAGATATCCCATAGTTTTCTGCAACCAAGATAGTTATTACGCTTCCGTTTTATTGCTGAAGTGCAGTTGCGAGCAGATAGATATGCAGCTCAAACTCAGTTGGCAAGATTGTTTGGTATTATTATTTTGTGTTTCGAAACTGGCAATTTCCACAGATAGTATTCTGCTTTTTAATGAATGTGTTGTTTGGCTGTCCAAGCTAAATGTGATATTTTAAGCGTAGAGCAAAACTAAGCTGCGTGTCAGTAAAGTATTTCGAGAGCATTTAATTCTTCTTATTTTGGGCAGCCACGAAATGGCGTAATTGTGATCCGGGAGTAAAGAAGGAAAGAATGTGAAGCAGAAGTTCTGTTTGATCTATCAAAAACAAATGTATGGAAATTAGTGAAAATACTTAATTGGTTTACTCTGAAATACGTAGCGTTTTGCTCAGGTAGATCATTGGCAAACTATGCTTATTTAATATTCATGAGCCAGAAGAATTTAAGTCAAACAGCACCACAACAATGATGATAATTAAATTACACACAAATAGAAGCCTTTAGCGATTAAACGATATGTCGGTGTCATAGGAGCAATGCTTTCAGTTTATTTTTAATTAAACATATTTTATTTATATCGTTCTGTTCTTCTTATGCAACAAAATCCTGAATAATCCATTCGAAAGTATGTCATTTAGTTTTCAGTAAACAGCGCGCACACATCACATATGATGTAATGGCAAAATTATTCGCTTACCTCTGTGTCATCCTTAGCGTCAGCGCCGACGATAATATCGCTGCCAGTATTACCACTAAGTGAGAATTTCCGTTTGCGTTCACGCTCTATGCGCATTAGTATCTGGGCATTTTGTTCGCATGTGTATGTATGAGTTTTGTGTCGTCGTTCCAGGCTGTACTGGTATAAAGGCCGCGTAAAATCCGGATTAAGTTCCGTCTCAGCGCCAGCATCACAACTACATAAGGACTGATTACTGCGTCCTTTGTTGCGTCGCAAAGAACCGCGATTTTGTGGCGTTGTCACTGCACTGGCACGTTGTTCGCTAATGTGATTCGAGAAGGTGACATTATTTTGGCCTCGTTGACTCGGTGCTAAATGCTGTTGGGCTAAGCTACTTGTTGAACTATTATTGGCTGACGCTGAATTTAACATAGAACCCATAGCCGAACAGCTGCCAGATCGTAAGACTTGCATTGCAGTATCGGAATAGTGGGCAGATATATCATTGCTTTCAAAACTGAAATTTTGTCCTGAAGCACCACTGATGCGGGCCCCGTAAGCTGCCGACGGCATTATAGGCGGATAACTGGGTACTATAGTTGCTGTTGCCGAAGTGGGACTGAACGACCTTAAACGTTCATAGCCACGCATTATAGGCGTTTGACAAGCACTAAGACTAGATTTTCTTTTCGAAGGCGAAACATAATAGATATCATGTTCATCGAACTGAATTTCGGCGCCTGCAACGCCATTCATATAACCTGGACATCCTATGATAGTAGCAGCGATTGCTGTACTGCTGGTGCTACCGCCGCTGTTACTACTCATATGGGGATGATCTTGCAACGTAAGCAATAATGGATTGCGGTAGTCTGCGATTTCGTTAGTTTGGCTATTATTCTTACAATTGTGTTTGCTTTTCAATTCTGGCGTCGAACTGCAACTGGACCGATAAGCATCATGACAGTTTTGCTTTGTAGTTGTTTGATGCACGCGACCAACGTCGAGTGATCTCTTCAGGTCGGTCATGTTAAGCTACTCAATCGCTAAGGGGAAGCACAACATCAATCAAATACAAGTAAAAAAATCAGTTGAAAAATCTTTGCATAAACTGTTGATGCTTCCGTGCACTTTATGACAAAAGGAAACCAAATGCTTGCTCGGTTTTATTTAAACGTGCTTAACATTTCTTTTTGCTTCGTGTTTTTTTTTTTTTCAAAATTTTCCTTTAATGTTATGCTGCAGCTTTTTATTGTCACATGTCTTCTATAATGTATTGTATGATATTTACAATTCTGTGTGTTGCTCTTGTTGTTGCAAGTAATGTGGTTGGCTTACTACTGTTAGCCTTCTCTTCTCGCTTCTCGGTAGCTTTTCTTTTGCTACAATTTGGCCTCAGTCTTATCAAATATTCATGGGACAATTGTCCATGAATGTTGTTGTACTGTTGTATACATGACGTTACTGATAGTCATTTGCATTCAGAGCAATAGCATCATCATGATCATCATCATCATCATCATCGTCATCATCATCATCATCAATAGTAGACAGCAGCGGCAAATATTCTTTATTCCTCTTATAATATTTAAGCCAATACAATGCACTGGTGAGCAGCGATTCATGCAACCAGGCAAACAGCCAACCAGCATGGAATCTATTGATATCTCTCTATATGTCTTTGTTGCTACTACTACTTAACAACTGATGATGTCTCGAGTTGTTGGTGTCTTTTTCGTTTTATTTTTCTTTTTTCACAATTTTTTCTTTCCGTTTTGTTATCTCGCTTTAAGCACACGTCCTGCCCTGTTACTATCTTTGGCTTGATTTTACTGCTACGTCCTGTCCTATGTTAACTTCAATATTTAATGGTGCAACCACTTGCTGGGCTTTTAAAAAAGTTGATTTTTTGTTTTTTTAAATTTTTGTTCACCATATTTGTTGTCGTTCGCTTTTTTGTTGTGAAAACGTTTAAAAAAACTTTATGCTCCTCATCAGTTTATGCTGCTCGTGTTCTCGTAGTATAGCTCAAGTTCATTGAAATCCGCTTAGTTTCTCATAAATGCCAGCCGGCTCTTGGGTCTTCTTTTGCTCGATATACTTATGCTTTACAATTCTTCTTATGCTTCTTACTGTAAAAAGCACTTGTATTGTCTTTTTAGCTAATGCGACACGGATTAGTTCAGGTTAGATTTCGCTACCGCTCACCCGCACGTACACATATTTACATTTTCATTTATTTGCATACATATTATGTTAATGTTGGTAAGAAGCAAAGAAAGGCACATGATATACTTTATATATGCATAAGTGGCTGCTTCTGGTTTAATAAAATTGCTTGTTGAAGCTCTTGTTGTCGCGTAGGGATATCAATCCTTGAGCCAGCATCTTGTCATCAACCATTATGTAATATTGTTTCAAAGTCTTGCTAAAAGTAAACGAAGAAGAATAGAATACATTTTCTATGATTTAAGTTTTCAAATAAGGATTATATCTAATATAAGTTTAAACATTGAGAGATTTACGAAAATTGTCAATTTTTTCTTGGTTAACTTTAACTGTTAAATTCACAGTAAATTCAAAAGAGATTTTTATAAGATTTTCAAACAAATTTATTTCCTCTTATGCACGGAAAGACATTTTTCACGTATGTGAAAACAAAAATACAAAGCAAAAAAAAACCAAAGGAAATAAATAAATGTTTTCTTCATTCAAAGTTAATTTATATAAGCTTTGCTTTCTTTAAAAAAAAAAAAAATCCGAACTTTTTTACTTATTATAAATTGAAGAAATTGACTTGAAATTTCTTCTCCTCCCCAGGGCAATGTACTTTTTTGTACTTTGGAACATACAATATCATAGGAAATATTTCATAAAACGCTTTTTTTGATACGCTTGAAAATGAACCGAAGCTAACTTATAAAATAATATTATAAATAAATAAAGAATGCTTCGCCAAGAGAGGAGTTGCGAAAAAAAATGATTTTTTGCGTGTACAAATAGCACGAATTCAATGGCGAATGTGTCACAGGATGGACGGTTCCGCGCACAGTATCTGTATATGTATAGTATCTGTCTATTAACTCTTGCCTGAGCTAAGGAGAGCAGTAATCAGTGATGGCACCTAAGTGAAAACCTCCCATCATAAAATTAAAGTAAAGAAAAAAAGGCTTATGCAAGACACAATTTGCTGTCTTCCACGTAGATGAAAAAAATATTTCAAAAATTATTCACCTCATCAGATACTTTGTTTTTTTCATACAACCAGCCACTGCCTTTGTGCCTCATACGGTTACAATCACAATGAAGTGGTGAGAGAGGAAGCCAGGTGAGGAGCAGTAGTAGCCTGTGAGCTCGGTCTGCAAGTGCTATGTCGATTGCATTTGTTATATAACAATATCAATCGTAATTAAAATATGATCTATCGCAAGGAGGATTGAACTTGAGCAGCAAAACAACTATAATGCGATTCTGAATTCATTACCGAGAAATAAAATTCAAATAAAACGTTAAAGACTTATAAACTTTGCTAGCGGCGGTGTTTTAATGCTTTTGGTAATACGATTTTGATATTGAATCAACTGGTCTAACTAAGATACTACTATAGCAATACAGTCTACAATTTTATCAACCAATACCTTGGCTTTGAGCATAGAAATTGCGTAAATTTATTTAAAAGTTTTGATGAAAATTTTCAATTACATCTTCGTTGACAACACTGTCTAGCATAACCATAAACCAAAAATTTTATTTTGCAAGAAACTTTAAAGGAAGCATCTGCAGCCACAGCCACCACAAGGATTTATTAAAAGATTTATAGCAAACAAAAAGGGAAATATTATATTATCATATAAGGAGATGATTATTCAAATTTTTGAAAATCTTAGTCGTAAGATCTTTGATAACTGGACCAGTATAAACAGTCATTGGAAATGGTAAAAATGTTAAACACAATCCTGCCTACTTTGCCCAAAGTAATGGCCAAAATTGCAATAAACAAATTGCGTGCGACAGCTGCTACAAGTAGACAGAAATTTCTTCAAAATTGGAACTGTGTTTTTGAAATCACGTCTTCCAGTCTATCGCAACCATACCTATTATTATAATTAACTTGGTCAGACAAAATAAATACTACGACTAAGCATCTAATGTTTATCGATTTTAGTGAAAACTCTACCGCAGTTGGGATTTGAACCCTCTACCGTTGAGTTGTTAGTCATGTCTTTTGCCCGCTCGGCCCGTCAACAGAATACTAATTTTTGAAAAGAACGTTTTCGAAAGTTTTTCTTTGATTTTGAGATGGATCCATGAAGCTTTTTGGCTTATTTCACATGTAAGATTGTGACCTTTAACGGTAGGGTAAGTCAGGTCAACGTAGCTGTATACATATGAATAGCGACTGCGAAATGTGTAAACTTTCGTAGGCAAAGATCGCAGTACTTACTGAGTTTCTTTTGGTATAGGGGACGCTCAGTAAAGCCAGAATACTTGTAGGTTAGATGTATTAACTACTAGGCTAAAAGCTTCCCTCTCTTCACTTTCTTCTGTCCTTCTCCATATTATATGAATAGGGGACATCCCCTAAATGATTGATCATGTGCAAAAAACAAAAAAAAAAAAAGGGAAAAGAAAGATGCAAGAGCTGCTACTCTTTCGTTCTTAAAAAATCTGAAAAGAAATCTTTTTATTAGTAAAGTATTAAGGAACCGTTTCGTATTAGGACACTCGAATATTGATAACACTTTTGCTTGTATAAAGCTATTTATTTTATTTAGTGGAAGGTCTTTTTCGTCAACATTTTTCTTTACATTTCTTTTTAACATCTTGAATGATAATTTAGTGCTTATGTGCGAATAAAAAAATAGGATAATTTTTCTGACTTTATAAGAAAAAATAAATCTATTATCACCACTGCCGACTAATATGCTCTCGCTATGTTTTTATCATCACTAGCAGACAATGGCGCTCACATATTACGGTAAGAGAAAATCACATAATTCGCAAAAAATTGTAAGCTCGATTTTTTATCTTTCCTATCTCATGTTTCCTCATCATCATCGTTTCCCATCATTGTAAAAAGTTAGATAAATAAACTGAAATACTAAGAAGCAACAAAGCACATAAAATCCATAGAAATCTTAGCGCCAACGACGCAGATGGACGAACTTCTACGTAAAATTTGAAGTCAAATAGTTACGAATGAAAATATGGGAGAGGTAAGGCCTAGAAGTAGAGTGAAGGAGGAGATTATTTTTCCAAATCCTACTGCTTTGCTATTTTTGGTTTTTCAATAAGTTTTAGATTCCAATGGCTTGAATTGATTTCCTAGGTAAACGTGGCAAAATCGCCAACCACAAGAATTTCGTGCCGGCAAAGCAACATTAACGCTTAAACAACCTTAACATTTTTTTTACAATTCCTTGAGTAATTGATAGAAAAATGTCCCCATGTAAAAACAAACAGAAAAACATGAAAATTCTTTGGGCATAGAAATAACGCGAAAAACTCTAATTAAAAAAAATTAATGTACAGTTAAAAATGAAGGGGTTTTTCTTTATTAGTAATTTAATGCTTCCGTAGACATACGTCTACATGAAGGAGGTATTTTCGCACCATAATGGGCCGTCCATTCGAATTCGATAAATGTAATCGATAAGTGAATTCAAAAACTGTTTTTTTGGTGGTTTTCAACAATTAACGCCTTTACTTCGTCCGCATCATTTTCAACTGGTCTTCGAAGGCGCGATGCATTTTCAGCGAAGCGACAATTTACGGTTGACGTTCACACGTCTGTACACATTCGCAGATATCCAATAATTTTTCTCTTAGTTTAGCTGCAGTTTCACAGTTTCGATGGCAAAAAAGTAAAATATACTCAAAAAGACTGCATTCGTGTGCCCATATTTGACGAAATCTATTGCGTACAATGAAACAAGCATTTTCGCGAACAAGCCTTGTTGCAAATACAGCTGTCAAAGATACACATAAATACAACTCGGACTAAGTGTGAAGTTAGCTATGAACGAATACAATTAAGTCTTTTGTTGGTTGAAAAAACTAAATATCTTAAGGAACAACTCATGAATTATATAAGAGGAGAATGCTTATGTTCCGTACGAAGAGAAAGGCCTTTAATAAAGTTTGGCTGCTTTCGAAGTGAAAACGTTTGAAAGGTCACTAAATGACTTGTAACGCAGTGTAACAATGAAATTAGTTTGTCATTAGAAAATTCAATCAAAACTTAGTGAAATTCAAAGTAAAAATTCGTTTAAAATCGTTTAAAAAACTTCTCGTTAAACCTTTTCGGGTGAGAGTACATTATCAGAATTTATTGCCAAATGAATATGTCTCCGTTACGACGTAATGACGACCGAGTTGTGTACAGTTTAGCCAAATAGCTCGGCGGCAGATAGAACAAATTAATGTTAAAAAGAAATTTTAAATATAAAATCTCTTCATATGAAATGTGAACAGATTTAATTTGATATCGTTATGTGTTGTCTTCCCTCGTTTTGTCGTTCTTTTTTTTTTTTTTTTTGCTAAATGCATATGTACATAGCAGAGCTCGTGTAAAAATGCTCTCTAAGTAGTCGTTAATAAATCAGTCTCGCTGGTATAAAGTAGTAATAAGTACAAGTGCGAAGCGACTGTACTAAACCGACAGTTATGACACTATTTTACTGGAAATTTATATTCATCGTAAAAGAGTAAAAGAGAGAGAAAGATTTGAGCATAAAAATACTTTAAATGTAGATAAGTCTGGTATGTGTTAATGTTAATGGTAAGTGCGTGAAAGTGGGAAGGGGAAAATGGGAGAGTTTGGGAAATAAACGGAGTTTATATACATGAATGTCTACACAGATCACTTTTGTAACTCGTTAACTTACACGCATATATATGTATATATATATGTATATATATATATATGTATATATATATATATATATATATATATATGCACAGTTTCGCATGTGTTTGCAAGCAAGTGCTTGCAATAGCTTCTCGTACCACTTATGATGACATACTGCAGTCAGCCAAGCATTACTGCTTTCAAAAGGAAATGAAAATGTATAAATTTTATTGTTGCTCTCTTTTGTTGTTTTTGTTGTTGTTGTTGTTGTTGTCGCTACTATTACAGTTCCATTATGACTGATAAAGTTGTTGCTCTTGTTGTTGTTAAAAATTATGCGCTGAATTTCTTCTAAAGCACTTTAACGGAATTTCCTTTTGGTTTTAAAAAAGAAATTCTAACAAAAACTTTAAAGCATAAAACTTAAGGTCGGAAAAATGCATTGTATAAGTTACTGAAAATGAAATGAAAGTTGGATCGGTAATGATGGCGACCAGCATTACAATAATGCAGCAAAGACACTGCTGCTACCGCTTGTAGGCTATACACACATACACTACCGAAATATATTCGTTTAA